TGTGTGCATCTGTCTGTGTGTGCTGTCGGCACAACATCCAATTAAATTAGATCCACGTTGTTTTGATCCAATCAAAGTTCAGGACAACCACTGAAGAAGAACTGGTGTCAAACAACGCGCCAGTTGGCAAAAATGATACCGAAGAAAGTACTAACTATCGAAACTACGAGGTGATCAACAAAAAACGAATTGCAGTTTGCAAAACATGCGGGTCGAAGATTACAGACTTTGTTCGACATCTGAAGTTGCACAAAGAACGGTAAGTAAAAGCTAACGCTAGCTTATCGACTAAGTAATTTTACTATCTGCATAGTTAAATCAATGAGACTGTAAACTCAGTGTTAACGTAACATTGCAAACACGGTCACCTGAGTCCACTGCGGGTTCACTCACACACTCATACTTTTGTTATAAAGAGATAGTTCATGCAAAAGTGAGATGTCCACTGCATCTACCTCGTCTGCATGTTTTGCAACACATGCAGGCTGTAAAAACACAAGTTCTTTGTTTTTTTTCTCTGCAGGCCACAATATTTCTTCTTCCCCCTGTAATAAATAATGTATGCAAAAATAATTGTACAAAAGGACACAGTGACCTTTCAAAATTAACGTTTGTTTTATTGATCAATGAGTGCTTACACACAGCGTCACTAAACACACAATCATGTCCCCAGTTTGTTGCACAGACACACGTATAAACAGATGGTATTACTATTTCACCCTGAGTATATATATTGATTCAGGCCACTTAAGAACAGGGTCATTTGACACACTTGGCGAATGTCACAAGATCTTATAAAAGAGCAGAAAAACTTTCTCGCCGGAAACCAATCTGAGGTGTTCAGGAATGTCAGACAAGAAAAAAAATGCATCTTGTGTTGTGGCAGGGATTTCATTTAAATTTGGACGGTTATAAATTTGTGTTGGGATTGAGTGCAGTGACTGTAGTTTTTTTTTTTTATACTAGGTTATCTTATTTAGAGACCATCAGGCAGAATGTAGTTGGTTGCCATGGCGAGGATGGGGGCTCCTGTTGGGACCCCGGGGAAAGGACCACTGGACCCAGCGATGTCAATGTGGGAGTACGGCAGAGGCGCATCAGAATCCACACCATGCTGCGTTTGAAATTAAATAATACAAGTTAATGACCTCTTCCGTATTATAATGTTCACACTCACAGATAAATAATAACGTATTCTGAGCACCTTGTCGAGCCCTGAGGCCATGATGAGGAAAGCCGCAGGGGTCTGATGTCCTCGAGGTGTGGCCGAGGACGGCAGGTTGTTGCACTGCAGAATATCCTCGTACTCGGACTTGCCCTTGTGGAACTCGTAGTCCTCCCGTCTGATACTGGACACCTCGAACACGTCACCCAACACCTCTCCAGCTGCATGATAGAGGAGGAAGACCATGTGTTAGTTGGTGATGAGGGGAAAGAACGCTTTGAAAAGCACCAAACTACTATGAAGCAATTGCACTGCTTCACTGTTTTGAGGTATTTGATAGTCAAAATGGCGACATCTGCTGGTCAGCCCATGGTATTATATTTGTAAGCAGGGATTAATATCATGAGTGGTCTCCCTGCTCTCATTATTATATACTAATATTATAAAGCTTGATCACATTTAAACAAACTATAACTTTAAACACCTTTAAAAGAATAAAAAGTCATGACAAATGAATATAACAAGATACGAAATTACCAGAAATTATTCCTGATTTGACCAACAAAACACATTGAGTTTATGATATTAAACAGAAAAAAACATGAAAGTCTTTGCACTGGGGAAGAAATTACAAATGTTTGATAATCATTTTGTCGTTAATACAAACACTTTTACCATACCAACAAAACAAAGTCAATTAATGGATTCAATTATTATTTAGCTCTTGTTCAAATAAATGCTGGACTCTTAAATGTATCCATACAAAACCATCTTTACTAGTTTTTTCTGGAGCTTCTCATCAGCAGATGGCGTTTGCTCAGTTGTCATGGAGATGGCCTCCTCAAAGGTTAAATACATTAGCTGATGAAGGCTGTGAGTTGCAGTCGAAAGCTCTAGAAAAGCCTAGTAAGCGGAAATTACTGTTCATGGTCAAATTATCCACACAGTCGTCTCACCTTTTTGCCACTGAGCAGCATTTTCACTGCGGTGGGCGGGTCCATTATCCATGATGATCTACGAAGAGAAATGAGTGTTATAACTCTAACTCGATAACTATTTTAGTTTTTAAATGTTTAACATCTCTCAGGCAGCACTGTCTGTGTTTGAGCAGTACTCACAGAGTAGTTTGGTCCCATGGCTCTGATAGCATGACCCGTCAGAGTAGCGATAGTAAACAGCTGAGGAGAAGTCTCACGTACCGCCTGCAGACACAGATCACATGATCAGAATGAGAGGGGACGCACGTGCAGAAGAGGGGTTAGGATGTACAAATGAGTTAAGATGTTTTTATCAACGAGATGTTGTGACCTTCTCCTTCATCTCACAGAGCAGGTCGACCATCACCATCCGTCCCTCAGCGTCTGTGTTTCCCACTCTCACTCTGCGACCCGCACGGGAAACCATCAGTTCATCGGCCACGTAGCAGTCTGACAAACCACAGACGTGTTAACACAGACGCTTGCTGCAATGTGACACAGATCCAACCGAGAAGGAATATTAACGATGGAAACGTAGATTACACCGACCTGCACCGACGCTGTTCCTCACCATGGCCATGGAGCCGATGACCTTCAGATGTGCTGGCCTCAGCTTGGCTAAAATCTAGAGAGCAAGAGGGGCGTTAGAGAGGAAGCAGTGCTGGAATATTAAAACAAAGGCAGGAAACGTCACGCTTCACTATCTATGTTAATGTTTCTAACTCTACTGAGGGCCCTTTGATTTCTTCTGAAGGCTAAATAAGGGCTTACATGGAGGAAAATATTCATCCCTTTAATCGTGACTCAGCTGCTTCTAGGACTGAGTCACCTAGTGTTGTTTTCGAGCAGTCACAAGTGCTGAATATTTTGTCCACGTCCCGAGGTTTTGACTCCCGGAGGGTTAATTAATAAGTCATTCACCTGGAAGAAGCCGGCCACAGCAGCAGCTCCACACTTGTCCCTGTGCATCCCAGCCATGAAACCACCAGCCTTGATGTCTGCTCCGCCAGTGTCGTAGGTGATGCCCTGGAAACATCAGGTGAGAAACAACCTCTGTTTATTAAGCGGTCAGTCACATACATATACGGATACAATGCATACTGTAGAAAGATGGCGGTCCTCTGTAGAAGAGGATAGATCAATAAAAACTGCTTATTCTAAGGAAACAAAAACACAAAGAAAACTGCCTCATCTGTAAATCTTTTAAAGGCCCCAATCCTGTTTTTTCAGGCTTTTCCTTGATTTTCATTCATGTTTTATGACAATAGACAATATGTTTTTACTCTTTGTGTTCAGTTTTTACGTCTTTCAGCTCATTTTGTCACTTTGTAACTGTTTTGAAAGGTGCTACATAACTAAGGATTCATTTATACCAACAAATCTTCAATTGTTGTACGGTAGCCTTGGTCAAATGTGATATTTGGTAAATAGGCGTTTTTCTTTGTACTCATGTTTTAAAAAGCGTACACTTTAGGTTGAAGACTTAATATTTATTTGGGGACAAGTTTTTCCTTTCCTCTCACCTTTCCCACCAACATGAGTGTCTTTTGGATCGGTCCCTCTCCACAGTACTGCAGCTTGATAACTCTGGCCTGATGACGAGGGACGCCTGCATGAGGACAGAAAATAGGAATAATATACATGCATCTTTAAAAAATAAATAAATAAACATTGAACAGTTGTGATAAGTGATAAAAACAATATGTTCTCCTACTGTTGGCACAGCGGTTGACTGCAGCCAGACAGGGATACTCTTTCTCCAGAACCTTCAGGTCGCTCACCACTTCCACCTAAAGGTTCATCAACACAGACACGTTCTTATGTTTGACGCCAGACAAAGTGCTTAGTTGCCATTTTCCTAAAATCTTATAAAGAAAGAATACGATTGTTGACTTGTTGAACAAGAAACAACAGGACTACCTGCACAGGGCTGTCCCTGAAGAGTTCCTGGACGTAATCAGCCGCACGAGGAGCAGCCATACGTTCAGGGTCTGAGCCACCGATGTCACGACACGCCAGTCTGAGGAGGAGAAACAGAGCAGCTGGTTGAATGAGGGAACGACACAACATGAGAAATCTTAGCAGTGAATGGAGGTGAAGTATCTGACCCACCTGCCACTCTCCAGGGCGTCGGCTAGCTTCACCAGTTTCTGTCCCTCTGCCTTCTGTGCTGCCCACAGCCCCAGAACACACACCTTGTGATCGCTGGGTTTTACATTCCCCTCCCTCACTTCCAGAGGCTTTTGTGGGACAAAAAAACAAACACAACAGGTGAGTTATGCCACAGAGGTACTATGTTCAGTTTCCAGTTCACACCTGGAAAAGACCTGGAGTGAATTCACTTCCTTGAAATGTGTGGTAACCAATGACAACTGCTAAATGTAAAAAAAAAAAAAAAAAAGAGCCCATTTGTGTTCAAGCATGGACTTGAACTGGACTTCATCCAAGTGGTTTGGCATAGCAAACCCCCTGTAGTCTGAGTCATTTTATATGCATATTACTAAACTGATCACTGTGGCCAAGAACTACATACCTTGACCTCCTTCTAATGGTTTTTTAAATAATGTATCCTCATCTGTGCTTAAAGAAGGTACTCATTATTGCACTTTTGCACCATAAAGTTGGCTGCTCTGATTTTAAAAAGAATGGTTGAAAAATGTATACAGGAGACATTCGATCCCAGACTTCCCATAATGTAACCAATAGCATATTTTAATTAGACTGTTCAATGCCCACATCCTTTAAACTCCACACAACAGAACACATTATATAACTGCGTGCAGTGTATTAGTAAAGTTGTTCTTCACATGACTAGTAAACAGAAAACAAACAGACTAAGAACAAAGAGTTCCTCTTTAAAACTGTCCCTTTGTGGGAGGATCATAAGAAAGAAAAGAGCCTTTATGTAGGCCCTGCGTCAGAATGAGTGTTTTCTCACCATGTATAGAGCCTGAAGGGCCCCGAGTGCAGCCACCAAGGTGCTGTTGTTATAGTCCCTGTGTGGAGGACAGACCAGCAGGGGACGCTGCATGCCTGCTTTCAAGGCCCTGAAAAGAAACACAGAAAGTTGGAGGGAAACCAGCAGAGCGAGCTGCTAAGA